AAACCCAACACAGACACATTCTTTTCATGGCAGAAACAACCACCACATATGAGAGTGTGTGTGTGCATGTGTGCATGTGTGCCTGTGTGTACACAGAAGCATGCGTGGGGTAGGGGAGCAGGACTTGGGAGAGGAGCAAGGCTCCTGGAAAGGGCGATGTGGAAGGCAGAGAGGAGCTGGGAAGGGGAATTGAATACGGAAAGGTGGGGAACGGGGGTTAGCAGCCTGGCTGCCCAGTGACTCAGAGTCTACTCTGCAGGGAAACCTGCACCTAAATCTAGGCCTAGGGTGGAGGCGGGGGAGAGGGAGGGCCCACAGAGGTAACGTGTTCCCTCCCTCTTTGTTCTGGGGGAGGCTGGAAGAGACAGCTGGATGTCCAACACTGGGGTGAATTCCCCATGAGACAGATGGGGCACCCCACTCTCTCACTTCTTCCTTAACCCTGCCCCATCTCAGCCTCCCCACATTTGCTGGAGGACTTGAGGCTCTTCATAGAGGTGTACTGAGGCCTGAGACAGGGAGGGAGGTCTGTTGCTAATATCATCATCATCCTAACTTGAACCGCATCGCCCCGCTCTGCGCACCTTGTATAATTATACTCGAATTTCTCCCACCCTGGCCAAGATTCCATCATCTCCAGTCTAGATTCCTGGGACATTTGCCCCTCTGGAGATAACCTTTAGATGCCAGGGAAATCTTTCTCAAGAACATACTTCATTATGTTTCCCTCATAGAGCATCGCCTTTGGGGTCAGGCAGACGCAGCTGGCAGAAGCTCTCAGCCCTGCCTTATGTGGACAGTGGGCCAATGGAGGGACACTATTCTTTTCCCATGTCACACAAAAGGAAACTGAGTCGCAGTGATGCTGCCTCACTGAGTTGATGTGAGGATTAAGTGAGATAACTTGCTTAAAGCACACATGGTAGTGCCACTAATAATAATTAATCTACTATTATTATTATTTAGTCTTTCTGTGTGTCGTCACTGTTCCAAGTAGTCTTTATGCATTAAGTCAATTAATCCTCAAAACAATCCTTTGACATGGATATTATTACCCCCATTTTACACATCAGGAACCTGAAGCACAAATGATTAAATGTTCATTTAGTCTCCTGCCACACAATTAAAAGTTTGGGACTAAGAAAGTAGGTTCTCAAATACTACTCAGTGCCCCTCCACCCACCCCTGCCAAGAACATTTGCAACATTTACAAATGCTCCCCATTGTCTGTGCCATCAAACCTGCACTTTCCAGTCTGGAAGTGAAACTCTGGCCTGCTCTGGGTCCCTGGGGAATTGAGATAGACTTTCCTGTGACCAGATCCTAGAGAAAAACCCTAAGCACAATGCTCCCTATGACAAAAATGTTGCAAAAACATTTGCCGCCTTGTCTCTCTTCCTTAACCATTGTCGAGCATGGTAACTTTCCATTACATTTTTACAACCTTAAATTATAAGTTGTAAGTATAGAAGACAAAAATTACTTTTTTTAACCACAGTAAAAATATGTTATTTCTGATCATGAGCAATGGAGGTCTCCACAAGGCCCGGCGGCCTCTGCTCTCAGTGCTGTTGCCTGCTTGTGGGCAGCTGGCGTTTGAGGCTCGCCTGCTGGCCATGGGAAGCAGCCCCTGGGCACAGCTGTGCACTGCAGTTGTCACAGACCTTCACAATCTTGCTTTGAAAAGCTGCTAATGGATGGCTCTAAAACTTTAATAACTCAGAGTAGAGACGTTATCAGAGGCTCAGGAGGAGACTGTGAATGGGCTGTATTCATTCTTCTTTCCAAACAGATTATACAACCAGAGGTGGAAGGAATCGTAGGGATCATCACACAGAGGAGCAAACTGAGGTACGGACAAGATGAGTGATTTACACAGGTCACACAGCGAGTTAGAGCCAAACCCGGTCTGGTTACAGGTTAGCACCTCTCCCTCAACCAATCCCAGGATCTCCTGGTGTTTCTTTCCTAAGTTGCCAGATTGTATGCTCTTAAAGAGCAATGTCATCCATCACGTCTCATTATTATCCATGGCCCCCAGCAAAAAGCTCTACGTAAGGCAGACCTCACACTCACTGGCCGGCTGGTCTACCATTAGGAGAAGGCACCTAACAAATAGCTGACCACCTCCTTAGCAATCTCACGTCTCTTCCCACTTGAGTCTCCATTTGAAGCGCAAATGGAGACTTTAAACTGGTATCTGCATGGTTGTTGTTGATGTGTGTTTATAGGTCACGCTAACTGAAACCAGTTGCCATGTGAAGCCACTGGTCCTCTTAATAGGACTTGCCATGGTGCAGAACCAGAGGCGGTGCTTGGCCCAGGCTGGAACTGGCCTTCAATTACTAGGGTCTAATGCAACTCAGGGCATCTCTACTCTATGCTCATGAGAGTCAACAAGAGGAATCAACTCCCACATGTGGGCCTGGGATTGGTAATTATTAGTGGATGATTCTCACGAGGGCTTCTCACAGCTGGTCTAGAAATACTGCCAGTGTGTGCAGCTCCCCCTGGGAGGACACCAAAACGGCTACATCTTGACATCACACTTTGGCCCTTTGAACACACTGCCCTGATCTTTACTATCTCTGAAACCTGGCTCAAGCCCTGTGCTTATTTTTCCACCCTTTTTCTCCAGTCTATCCTGTTTTTGAAATCCTAGCCCAGCCTTGTCTTGTCTAGAAAACACCCCAGCTTGGCCCATGCTCTGATGTCTCTGTTACTCCATTAAGTCTCAGCACACAGAAATTCCATCTGCAGGTGGCTTTGCCAGTGTGAGCATGACACATGCCAGTGTCTCTCCCCATGTAGATGATCTCCCCGTGGACTGTGAGCTGCCTGGCACCAGCAATCCCGTCTTCTGCACCCATTGTGGCTGCCCTGACCTTCCACCAAAGAAAGAACCCAGGTGGAGATCTGCAAAGCATGGGCAGGCAACCCATGGATCTGGCTGCCCCTGGCTGTAGGAGGACGAAACGCTGACCCCTTCCTGGTTACTCACCTCATTCAGCTTGACCCAGTTGAAGGACTTCAGCGGGTGGGAAGGCTGGGGGACACGCTTTTTCCTGAGTGGGACTTCGCTGCTGGGGAAGGGGTCCTGAGGGAGGGGCAGGCCCATGCCGAAGCAAGGCGGGGC